CAGGTATGTAGGTGAAATTTCGTGTAAACACGTTTGGTATTCCAAAAAATAAGTTATGTCTGGCAGCCCTGGGCTCTCACTCTAAAACGACATATACAAAAATGTGGAAGCTCCGAACAACTATAGGTTGAAACCAATATTATCTTTTTAATATAACTAAGAAAATTTGATGCAAAAATTTCAGCTGCGAATTTTCTAAATATCATATTTCCCAGGACAACGTCAAATGATGCTAGGTTTTTATAGTATTATAGCCTATCTCATACCTATAATTACACCTGGCCTTTCGATATCCTGGGATCCCACATGATCACGCTACGTGTTCATGTATCACTAATCTTTCCAACTGCGGTGTAGCCTCAGGCTTACAATTTTATCAGACATGTCTTAGTGTTCAAGCCCAAGGAGTACTTGGGACTACCAAATATTACATTCGTAGTTGACTAAAAAACGTACATGGGTGAGACATTAACACCGATCTTGAGTATGAATTTAAGGGTCATTTGAAGGTCAAATAATTTATCATAAAGCTCCCATCCAACGATGGAGCAAGTAGTTGTAGATTGGACCACGTTTTTGGCTAAACTTGAAGACATGACTTTGAAGTTAACCTTAAACTCATTAACCAATATATTCTAACATGTCAGGATATAATAGTTAACAAGAAGAAATTTGCTATACAGGGTGTTCCAGAAGTCGACGTCAAGCAGGAAACGGGGAAAAGGCCAAGTCATAACAGTTATCGGAAAAATATAAAAGAATCTTGTACTTTTTAAATTATAGGCTTTAAAAAAAATCGGCAGGCTCTCCACTACCCTGTAATGATCTGTTCGCTCCCATTACTAGAAATTTCTTCTTAGACGGAATCACGGACAGTGTCATTCTACGTAGTGAAATTTGTAGTAATGGGAACTCACATTTTTCAGTAAAAAATCGAGTGGATTTAAGTTAGGTGATCGGGCTGGACAGGAAATTGTACCAGACTGCCCTATCCATATGGTCGGATATTCTGCATCAAGATTTTCTCTAACTAACGGGCATAGTGCGTCAGGCGGCCATCTTACCGATACCACATGTCTCTGTAAATGCTTATTGGCACGTCTTCCAATAAATTTGGTAAATGATTTTGTAAGAAGTTTCAATAAATTCCTCTCTAGCAGCTCAAAGGACACAATGGTTATCCCACATGTCTACTTTAATACGATACTATGATGTATCTTGTCCCATCAAATGTGGATTTTCTACATACCACTAGTGTGAGATCCTTCCTTTTTAAATGTCGACTTATCAGTCCATAAAATGTTCTCTAAAGATCGCGGATCTTCCCGGTGTCTCTGTAACTTCTGTAACTCCGGGGTTGTAGAGGTTTTACTCACACTATACGTGATACGGGGGTACTTTTTCAAGATTCGGAGGGTTGTACTTCTGGGTACTCCCGTGCTTGCTTCTACTTGACGTACGTACTCGGGTCTTCTTCGACTGCTTGTAGTACGACGTCTCCGTAAGCAAAGAAAATTCTTCTATCACCATGTGCTTGATTTGGGAATCGTCCCTCTGAGAGTAAACGGGTCATATTTACAAAACTCGGTGATCGGGATGACGATCAGCATTTGGGTATCTCTCACGATAAAACCTAGCTACACAATCATGAATAAATAAAAGTGGCATTACTGTCTTGCTGTCACTACGTAGAATGACACTGTTTGTCACTCCGTCTAAGAAAAAATTGAAATTTGTAGTAACGGGAACTAAAAGATCATCATAGTGTGTAGATTTTTAGATATTTCCGATTTTTTTTAAATTCTATAGTTTGAAGTACACGACTTAGATTTTTTATAGATAGATAGATAGATACATTTATTGTCTTGTAGATCATAAAAAATGACATAAGACTCGTCCTAAGAGGGAGGTACATAGTACACATAATTAAAAATAAAAACGAAACAAACATAAGTATTTACAAAGTACAAACAGGGACAACTTAATGCGTACAGACATTCACATATAAAAAAAGTTTAAAAAAATATATCACAGTGCGAGGTATTCAGACAAGGAGTAGAAACATTTTTCAACTAATAATTTGCGTAGTTTACATTTAAAACTAGGAATACTACTGATATTCCTGAGGTTAGCTGAAAGTTTGTTATATATTCTGATGCAGGTGTATTCCGGTGACTTTTCGAACAGCGTCAGTGTGTGTTTTGGAATACTCAGACTCTCACCTGCCCTTGTATTATAATGTGTGTTGATGTTTTTGTTCTGTATAAATTTTGTTTTGTTTGTATGTGTGAAAAGGGCGCACTTATAAATATGAATGCTTGGTAGAGTCATGATGTTTTTACTTCTGAAGATATCTCTGCAGGATTCTCTTCTACGAATGTTGAATATCAGTCTGATTATTCTCTTCTGTTGAACAAATGCTCTAGAAATTGAAGTTGCTTGTCCCCAAATTATGATGTTCCTTGATAAATGTGAGTGGACGAGAGCATAATATACATCTAGTAAAGCTGACTCTGATAAGCAAAACTTGTTCTCAAGAATCGCATAATATGATTGGTTCAACTTTTTACACACACTGTCCATGTGTTGTTGCCAACTGAGCTTTGCATCCATTTCTATTCCCAAGAATGTCATAGTTTTCGATGTCTCATGATTTGCTAGAATAGGGGCGTTTGTATAAAAATGTACAACATCTGACTTTTCGAGGTTTAAAATCAAACGATTTGCTTGGCACCACCCTTTCATTTCACATTTTACTCCATTTATTTTTGCAATAATGTCATTGCGTGAAGTTCCACTTACAAGAACTGACGTATCATCCGCATAATTTGTTACAAATCCAGAGAGATGCAAATCACTTATATACAGAATGAATACAAGGGGTGCTAAAACTGAGCCTTGCGCTACTTTTGTTTTGAATTTCCTGTCAGACAGGAAATACACTACCCAATCTAATATAAAACCTCTTAAACCTAAATTAAATAATTTTTCCTCGAGAAGTCCAATGTCAATTGTATCGAAAGCTTTCGATAGGTCAAAAAAGATGCCCGCGATACATTTATTCATATCGAGCTGTTTATATATCTGACATACAAACTCATAAGTAGCTGTCTCTATTGAATGAAGTTTCCTAAATCCATGCTGCGAGCTTGGGATAAGGTTGAATTTTTCAGCATATCCCAAAATTCTTGAATAAATCGCTCTTTCGATTATTTTAGAAAAGATTGACAATGTTATGGGGCGGTAATTATCAACTTGAGTAGGATCTCCCTTTTTTGGAACGGGAACTATTATCGCAAGCTTCAGGGATTTAGGAAATTTGCCTTGATAGACAGACATGTTAATTAAAGTTGTGAGAGGACTTGCAATTTCATTTAAAACACTTAATACCACGAGTAGTTACACCGTCACTACCACACGATTGTTTGTTTGGAAGGTTGGTTATGATTAATTTCACTTCTTCATCGGTGACCTCAGTGTAGAACATTGAATGCGCTACTTGAGTTTTAGCTTCTGCTGCTGGTAGTGGGGATACTCCTTTGAAGTGGTGTTGGAGCTTACTTACTACTGAGGTTGAAAAATGTTTCCCAAAAGCGTCAGGCACACTAATCTGTCCCATATCTCCACCGTTGTCACTTTTAAGTGAAATTACTCCAGAGTTCTTTTTACGTCCAAGCTCCTGGTTGACTATTTGCCAGATCTTTTTTGTCTTATTATCAGCTGTTTTAATTTCGTTGCAGTTATATTGCTGCTTGGCCATTGAGATCAGTTTGCGATGTTGCTTTTTTCTTTCAATATACGTTTGCTTCAGATTTATATCTTGCTCGTTCTCTTTTGTAAGTTTGTACAAATTTCGTAGATTGTTGCTCGACTGCTTTAACTCCGGTGTTATCCATGATTTGGGTTTTGTTAAATGTCTGCACGTAATAACTTTCTGAGGACATGTCCCATAGAAATGCCACAGAAAGGTGTTGAGGAATTTTTCGAAAGCATCATCTATATCGGGCTCTTCAATATTCCAAGATTCTTGAGAGAGACTTAATCGCAGTTCTTCGAGATTACAATTATCAGTTTTCCTTACAGTATAAGATTGGACGGGAGACTTGTTGGAGGCGACAAGGGAAGATAGCGTTAAGATTTGCGCCGCATGGTCGGATATTTGAGGATCTTCTATGGCACATTTCAGATTTTCTGAGTTGATGTTCGTGGTCATGTAATCGATTGAAGTTTTGGACAGACCAGTGGTTTTATTTGATGCTATGCGGGTTGGTCCGTAACAGTAGTTTGTTAGACCGAAGCACTGTAGGATGTCATTAAGTAGTAGACTATTTATTGACGGTTTACTGTAATCGATATTAAGATCTCCACAAAGAACTATGTTATTACTTGTGGTAGCTATTCGATTTAAGAGTGAAGTCAGGTTTTCCTGGAAAATTGTTATGTCTCCTGAGGGAGGCCGATAGACACATATCACTACGAGTTTTTCATTAGAAGGTCCAAAACTAACCTGCAAGCCGCAGCATTCAATGTGCTTTTCTTGTGAATACTCATCTGAGAATAAGATATCTTTAGCCTCAGCACCGTGACGAACAAATATGGCACATCCACCATGTTTATATCGATTTCTGCAGAAGCTGTTTACAAGTTTGTAGTTCTGAATGTTAGCGACAGCTGCAGCGGTCGTTGTTAGCCATGTTTCGGTGACACAAAGAATATCTGGTGATGCTTCATCTACATACAGTTCTAGGGCGTCATATTTATTCTGGATGCTGCGAACATTTAGATGCACTATTTTTACGTTATGACTCCTTGGCGGATTCCTGATAGAAAATTTGACTGCTGTTCATTAAAAAGTGGCTCTTTTTGTAGCGATGTGGATGGTAAGCTATGTTCCTTAGAGGATTCCAAGTTTTCCTCGGTGTTTAGATTTCCAATCAACTTTGGGAATGATGATTTCGGTGCACTTATATTTTGATGTTCGATTTTCGGATGGTGCATACTTTCTACAGTCCCTATATCCCTATGTGTTCTTGTTCCGTTCTGAATTTCACTTTCTATGGAAGATTCACTTGGTCTCTTTGTGCTTAGCAACAGTTTTATGTTATTGCAAATGATGCGTTTACCCTTATTATTCAGTACATTGGACCTCTCCCTGTAGTAGTGATGTAGATTTGGGTTTAGATTAAGAAGTTGAACTCCGTTTTGTGCACAAATTCGGTGCAGCTGGTTATTTATATCTCTTATAATGTTATTTAAAACGGGCCTATGACCTCTCCATTGCGGTACTGCAGCTATTATTACGTTGGTAGCTTTCAGTACTTTTAAAATTTCTCTGAGAGGTTCACATTGAATGAAACCTTTTGTCAGCGCATCATTAGAACCGCCCATGATGAGTACATAGTCGGACTTCGTGAAATTAGTTGTTAAATTTCGTACATCTTTCATAATATTGTTCAGTTGGGAATTGGGATGTGACATCGATGTAACAGCAAACTGATCCAAAGGAAGAACTCTTCGAAGTATATGTATCAGATTCCGCCCTTGCTCATCTGCGAGGATTAATAGCTTACACCTCTCGTCTTCTGTAGTATTTGCTTCTATAGGATTTGCTGTGATATAGTTTAGGTGATTTTTATCCCTTTTAGGTTGGTTTTGTGTCGGTGTTAGTTGTGTCTGAGTTTGTGTGCTATTTGATGTGACTGCTTGAGTCTGTACATGGATACTGTTTTTACTACTTCGGTCCGTCTGCACGTACCGATCAGTAACGACTGTCTTACATTTTACATTATTTATAATTCCTTCAAGTTGTTCTATAGTCTTATCTTTGTCCTTCAGCTCCTGTGTTAGTTTCTCTATCTTGCAGTTTAATGACATTATAGCGCTACTCAGCTGTTCGTTCTTCGCCAGCTCGGTAGCTAATTTATTTCTGACATCTAATAGTAAATTTTCGTGAGTGTTTGTATTTTCTTCAACTTGACTGTCGACTGTTGAATGTGAATGTAGCTATTGTTGTGCGATTTCCTAATCTTCTCAGTTACTGTTTTCTTCAATTTTGCTTGCTGTCGTGTATATTTTTCTGATTACTATTATAACATGGCCTAGGCCCCGTTTCCGGCTTGACATCGACTTCCGGGACACTTTGATGGATGCGACCACCAGTCTAATCAAAACCTATTTTAATTGGTAGAATTGCATGCCTTCGTTGACTGTGAGTTGTCATTCTCGTTTATTGTTGCTCTTGATTGTTGACTAGCTTATAACTCTGATATGGAAGTGACACTTTAATCTCCATCTTGGCCAGAAAGGTTCTGGAACATCCAATTCTATGCTCTATTTTGTATGATGTTTATGCCCTTCAGATTATTAAGGACGACGTCAACCTTACTACCACCTACATCTTGTAAGTAAACTACAGCTTATGGATGTAGTATTTCGAAGAATCGGTAATTCAATGTTATTGGCTCACTCTGTCTTACGCTCCTTTCACATTTCACGATTTGGCTCGTATAGGAAAAAGTCGCCCGATTTTTATTCGTAGCACAACTGAACCCGTCTAGTGTGAAAGCGTCCATTTGGTCACGTAGACCACTGAGCTAGAGGGCGATACGGTCAGTGTTGTAATCGTGCAATGTGGAACGTCTCGTGCTCTTCAACAGTCGATCAAGAAAAATTGCCAAGGCTATTTTTCCCGTACGAGCGAAATCGTGTAATGTGAAAGGAGCGTTAAGCCACCTCTGATTTAGTGTCCAGGCAATGTAAGGATGCGCCGTAAGCCCATATAATATGTGTGATACTTTGGTCTCTGAGGACCAGACTACGCAGTTCATCTCCATACCTCACCCAACGGATCTCCTCGATATATAAACAAAGATGGTCTAGTACGAATGTTCGATTTTGGGATTACCTCTGTCGCTATAAACTTCGCAGATTTACGATTGTGGTTACACGAGAAACTATAAAACAAACAAAGGATCCTATATCTAAGTTGACGGAGGACTGAGAACCGTACTGTTTATAAGCAATCTTATAAAGGTTATGACAAGGGTTGTACACAATAGCCACAAGACGGTGGGGGGTGAAGGTGGCATATGTGTTCATTGTCCAGAATCCCATGTGCTGTCTGCAAAAGTCAAAAGCCCGCCAATTTTGGCCTAACCAAAAAGGTTAAAAACCGGTTTCCTATAGAGCAAAGCTTTATCTTTGATCGATACCTGGTGACCTGAAAAGTTTTAATTCTTAACCAAGATTTTAAGCATTGAATATACACATTTTTAAAGTTAAATCGCTTATAATTCGAAGACTTTGAACTTTAGAGAAAAGTCACTGAAGGCATTTTAGTTCAGAATGATAAAAAAAAAACTGAAAAAAAGTGTGGGTAAAAAAAATTGTTTGTAATTTGGTAGCAGTCAAACGTTGCCAGACTGTGACAGGCGAGTTTGAATGCATAGTAGGCTGATAATGTAATTTGTTGCTTTAGAAGGAATTTTAAGTAAACTGTAGGAAATTTGTTTGTCAGCTATACTTACGTATCTCAAACTCATCAATTAACGGCTTCCACGATATATATATATATATATATATATATACAGGGTGACTTTGAAGTTGAGTCATTAATTTTCAGATAATGATTGTAGAAGGAAGATAAACCAAAATATGTGTGTAAAAATAAAAAAAAAATAAAAAAAAAATTTTACCTTGTTTTATAAAGTATCCTCCCGACAAGTATTTCAGTGCGGACCTGTATTTGATCGTGAGGTCTTGGAGCACCGGCATGCCGTCACCTGATTCACGAGCCCGTTATACTACATTAACAAAGGCACGAGGGGTTGGTTGCACTCGATTGGGAAACCGATCCGCATAAACATGTGCCATTTTTTATTTCGTTTGAGCCACGCAACAGACACCACTATTCACTGACACTGACTGTATACAAATGAATAAAATAATTGTAAAAACATCGTTCCAAATTCTTTCGCTTTTTTGTTGTCCGATGCGATGAACCGATACGGCGGATTATATCCGTTGTCGCCAAACACGAGCACATAATATTATTATTGAGACAGGGCGGTACTCAAACTTTCAAAGGGCTATAACTTTGTTACTTTAATTTTACCAGAAAAATGGTAAAGGAAAAAAACATTTCTTTTGATCAGATCTACTCACTGTTAAAATAAATGACTCAACTTCGAAGTCGAAGTATATATATCCAGTGTTTATTTACAGAACATAACAAATTAATAGAAGCGAAAACCTCGCATTCGCGAGAAAAATTTTCCAGGTAATTTTTTTTTGTAATCACGTTAATTAAAAATCCTAACATGAAGCAAGTAGTAGCCATTTAAACATGCTCTTCAATTTAAAAAAATGTATCCACGTATAACTAAAATGATAAAGGATTATAAGAATTATATTATAATAATATTAGACATAAGTAACGTAATTACTCCGATATATGAATGTAAAACCTATTTTATTCGCAGAAATGAAAGATGTTTTTAATTACAGCAGCCCAGAAAAATTCTTAATAGTAAAACAGACCCTGAAAATGAGTGGTAAGCAATATCAAATATGATTCTTGAAATAATTAGCAGTAACAATGGAAAAACTTTGACTGTTTGTCGGCAGTTTTCATTTGGTTGTCAAATTTGGTAGTTTGGCAAGCTGTCAAAGTTATACCATGGCTCTTATTGTATAGCACTCAGTGATAGACACTTATGATACATGAATCAAATTCAAGCGGATAACCAAATGGTATTTACCATTTTGGGTTGGTATTTACCAATCCGTTCAAGCGAGTGTAGTTATCAGTTTGGTTATAAGATCCGTGACGTCACGAATCAGCTGTTATATGTCATAGTTCTCACCGCAAAATTGTGGTATTTACCCAATTTAAGAGTAGTTTTATATTTCTGGTTATTATTTGAAATGCGACAAGTTAGAATTTTGCCGGGTATTGGATATTGTTATTGCACTTCAGCTTCATTTTTGAGAAAAATGATACAGGCTGACTTCACTTTTACCATAAAGTGGAGCACCTTATTAGTTATACTCATTACGGTTGTTGGGGACACTTTAAATGTAGTTCCTATGCTTAACAAAGTATCCTGTGTAGCCATATACCACAAGAATATTAAAATATGGCCATATAAACTCACTAGATGATATCCACCTATATACGGTTTTGCTAATTTCTTTTATCATCATTTCTGCTGAATCAATAAATGTTTTCTTTGACATGCGGAAAATTTTGAGAATTGAAAATTATCATAGCTACAAAGCCATGGTTCCATCATCCAAAAATCTGAAAAAAACATTTCTCCCATGAATATTATGAAAGGTTTCTTATTTAAACTTTCCATATACAGTAGACGAAAAAGCACCGATTATTAAGTGATAATAAAAATAATCAGAGATTATATACGCGCTTTTCTAAAATACACAACTTGCAACAAAACCGCGGCTAAGACCAACGCGTTCAAGCGATTCGTGTAACTGACGTCATCAACCCGTGTGTCATCTTGAACCGTATTATAATCGCGGCACATAACACAGAAATTTTGGTTATTCGCTTGGATTTGATTATGGAGTCCCAAGCTAAAAATTTTGAGTATTTCACTAATTGAGACAAGTGAAATTCATGGCAAAGTGAGTCAACACAGTGTTGCGAGAACTTCCTAATTCAGAAAGTACCAAGAATCGTGAAAATAATATTAAACCTTAATACAAATTCCTTGATAACCTAATAATAAACAAACGAAATTGGCAAACAATGTATACTAACTAGCGAACAGCAAATGATAAGTTCGAATATGCAAATCTGTCCAAATTACCAATCTGGTTTAGTTGTTGCTAATTGTGAATGCTGCATTAGCGACAAAGCTATGCAGAATTCAAATGGACTCGATTTTAAAATGCCGCGCCAGTTAATGCGAGAGAATACAGAGTCGTTAGATGCTCGCTAGTATCAGCAAATTGGTTTTTTCTTTTACTGCTTCTCATAAATCTTTTGACGGAGTTGAATACGTTGAGCAGGATTTGAACCTATAGCCCAGTCTCCGATTTTGAGGTGAGAAAATGGGTAATAATTTTCCGTAGGTGAAGTTTTTAGTACTACGAATAAAATACAACTACCACCCTCCTAAGACAGTACACTTGGGCATATTTGATAGTCTTGTAGCCAGATGCTTCAAATATTCATTAATATCTTGGAACATCTATTTACAAATAAGTCAACTGATTTGTGAGTCATTGATGGACCACAAAAGTAGATACAAATCTAATGAACAAACTTAGTAGTAGTAGTAGCAATAGTAGACATTTATCTATCCAGGACGTAGAGCCGGCGCTTATGACCTGAAGTGTGAAATTTTACACCACGCACCCTGGATTCTAAATTGCCAAGGGACATATATTACGCCCTAGGTGCATCCAACATTTTATCTACAGTATGGTAAACTGACAAAGCCTTAAACCTTAAAGTGTAAATAAAAATGAATAAACTGTGCTGTCCTAATAGTTGTGGCCCTTGCCTAGTAACACATAAATATGGAAAGTTTTCATATTCGATAAGCATTGATAAATTTGAAGGGGGCGAGCGCCAAAGATGCTTTGTCGCCCTAGAGCATAAGGAAGTCCGTGTACTAGAAAGTGAAATGCAGCTAAAAAGTTAATCTTTGTAAAATATCAATCAGTTACATGTTTTAACGTATAGTTCTAGCTCTAACCGGAGTATGCTTCAAAAATGTCTTAAGTTATGTTGCAATGGAATGATAAAGGAACCTTCCACAATGTTAGATGATGATGTATGATTACCTAACAATACATCTTTCTAAAATATACAGTGCTTTTCAAAGAGATTAATCTTACTTATGTTT